CTTCACGTGATTTGCGGTGTGTGAGCAGTTGACTATACAATACATTATCAAAAGACATCACTCCATCTTCGATGTTCACAAACATTACTTAATTCATAACACTATATAAAAACATTTAAAACTTCTTTAAATAATGTTTGTAGTATCGGAATCTATCAGCACAACTGCACAAGTAGCATTGCCACATTTGCAAGATCCTTAAACTTAGCAATTTGACTATCGCTCGCTCTTACCAAAAGGTTGATAATTTTTTAGTGAATTTCGTTAACAAGAAAAAGAAGTTTCAAAATATAAATACAACCAAGAAGTTTTCTACAGTTTCATCTTAATACTAGACTAATGCCCGCGCATACGCGCAGGTTTTGTTGTTGTTAAAGTTTTAAAAAAATGCTCGAAAACAATTTTAGATTTGCGATTATAAAGTATAATCCAATAATATACATATTTAATTCTTATTTGTTGGTTAGCGACTGACTTTCAAACATATATTTTTGTATTATACCACATGTCTATGAATCATTAACTCTTTTTGTTTACTCACGACCACATAGAACGGACTCTAGTAATAAAGTGGTTTTTACTATCAATTTCTGCAAAATCCATTTCTCCGTATATTAAGATAATTTAGATGTTTAATAATAACTTAAGATGGAAGTTGAAATGTAGAAGCCTTGGATTAATAGAGTGATTTTTATTATCATAAGTTGAAATGGATAAAATTTAGAGTTATTGACTGGAAAGAAGAGGAAAAGTCATGCCACAATATTAATTAATGGAGTGTTGATACAACGTAGAAGATGAATCAACTGACGGTTTTGAAACCTATTATAACTGTAACGATTAAGAATACGAAAAGACTGTTCTCTTTAATTTTTTTGCCACATGTCAATTATATAGAGAGAGTTGGCCTCAATTTTTAAAATTTTCTGTTGTTATAATTTTTAAAAACACTATAAATAGTTATACATTTATAAATAATATTTTTATATGATATGTAATATTATAAATTCTAACACAATAAAACTCGTGTTTTAGTTCCAACTTTACTTGGTTAGCGACTGAATTTCAAATATATATTTTTGCATCATACCACCCATTTTATGCATAACTCTCTCTTTACTCACGACCACATGAAATGAACTATGATTCCCCACATTTAGTTAACACAGTGCTAACGTGTCTAAATCCGGAAAAAGTTGAACCATTTTATAAATATGCTTATTAATATTTCATGTTCCATCTTAAGAATATAAAGAAGACGATTCAGAGTTAGAGGTTGATATTATGATTACGGAGGATTAAACGATAGAAAGAGCGGAATTTGTAAAGACGGCTTATATATAACTTCACGTCCAATAAATTCGTAATTTATTAACTTTTAAACTCTAGGGGAAAATGAAAGGTCAATTAAAACAAAAAAAACTTACTCCACATGTCAAAAAGATGGAGAGAGTTGACCTCTTTTCATATATATAATTTATTCACTTATTACTCTTACAGTCTTACTATATCAGTGTACAGTGTACAGTGTATGGTTGATTGGTTGTATTAGTATAAGAAAATTATGTTTTTACCGATATGAAAAAAGATAGACAAGAACACACAAAAGTACATGTATTTTAGTGAAAAAAAAATGTGTAAGTCACGTGGGACCCGTGCGTCTGGCTTTTTCGTCAGAAACTCAACGGTTCCACTTCTTTCACGGCATCGGTCCCGTGACGTCCGGCCTGAAAGTCCAAACCGAACCCACACGGCTCCTTAGGAACGTCACTCTCCATGCGCCACGTCGCTAACTAACAGTCATGATACGTCACAAGTCATACCCTTCACGAGAGGTCCGATTACAAATAGAGATCCCTTACAAATATCAGCTTCAGATATAACCTATGGTTAGGTATAGGTTACTAATCCGGCCCGTTCCATGTTTTTCTAGCGTTGGAGCTAAATTTTATAAATTATAATTGTTAAACTCTAATCTGGTCGACTTTGTGTCCATAAATTTACCAATCCTTAATTTTAATTGATAGTGGCATGTTGACAAAAACAAATGAGTGTTGCAAATAGATTAAAAAGTTATGAATAAAAAACTAGTATTTCATTTCTCTTTATTTGACAAAAGTTGCTTTTTGTATTGATAATTTAGGGACAAAGTATTGATTTTTGTTTTTACTCTATCAATTTTAATTCATACAAAAAATAAAACTACACAACAGCAGTATGCAATGGAGAAACTGAGAAAGACGAGTCTACTTTTGTCCATTATTTTCCTTAATGCGACAAATTACAAAAGAAAACGAGAGGCTTGTGAGAAAAAGTTTTGACCTAACTACAAGCTTTTGTTGACTTTGTTTCAACTAAAAAAAATTTAGTTGTTTCCCACTAAATTTGTCCAAAATAAAATAGATTTGTAATAAAACGACAACAGATTTTGTCTCCATATGCTGCTTAAGATATTTTCTTCAAAAAAATATTATACAATACAAAGTTTTTCCTGAACTATTTTAAACTAGATTAGGCCCCGCGTATACGCGGGTTTATTTTTTTTTATTTTTTTAAATCACGGAAGAATATTAAACAAATTCAATTTTAAAAATAAGAAAATAATATTAAAAACCCGATAACAAATCTCTAAATAAAGATATGTAGTCTTTTACATTATTATTTGAATTCATGAAATGAAATAGAAAAATTTACATGTGTCTAAATCTAGTCGACTCATTATTTTATGAAACTTTGATTATTCCATGATGAAATCTTTATTTTTAATATTGTTTTAGTTATCAAAACATGGAAAATTAAACTATATAATATTCGAAGATCAGTCCATTATAATATTTTCTTTTTTAATCTTATTTAGTTCCTTAATAGTTATTTTGTTAGTTTTCTATTTATATTGTTTCTTTTTCGATTTTGTTTTTGCCTCTGACCATTATAAATTTTCATTTTCATTATTAGTTAGTTGTTTTAATATTATTTTGTTAGTTTATTTATTTATGTTACTACATTTTTCCAATTTTCTTGTGTTGACACATGTCATCACTTCATCAAATATTAGACACATGTATCGATCTAAAGTTAAGTATTCTTCATTGATATCTTTAACTTTTAAAGACATGAATTTTATTTCTTAATGAGAAAGAAACTTATAAAATATGGCTTGTTATATATTGTTTTTTTTTTTCATTTTCGTAATGGGAATGTGTTTTTTATCCCTTTTCTTATTGGATGTAACATTTTTTAATTATTTCTTCCTTTTTATAGGGGTTCATGTAACAAATTTCATACAGTTTTAGGATATTTAGTTTACATACCTATTACATGTACTAATAGGATTTTTTTAAATAGGAGTTTATATAACCTATTCCATACAATTTTAGGATATTTAGTTTACATACCTATTTCATACACTAATAGGAATTTTTTTACATTATTTTCATTTTATTATATAAAATTTCGTTTTTATTATAAGATGTTAAAATTTACCATTTAAAATATAAATTTCTTTTTTCCGAAGATATGTGTCACGATCTTAACGGATATAACATTAAAAGTGACACATGTCGCAATCCTATATTTTATAAAAATCCTACGTGTCGTAACCACGTTGTGCGCATCCAGCTTTATATAATAAGATATTCCATACATTTTTAGGATATTTAGTTTACATACCTATTCCATTCCATGTACTAATAGGTATTTTTATTACATTATTTTTAATTTATTATAAAAAATTTCGTTTTTAATATAAAAAATTAAAATTTTCTCTTTAATATTTTTTTTCTTTTTCCCAAGACATGTGTCACGATCTTAACAGACATAACATTAAAAGTGACATATGTCGCAATTTATTATATAAAATTTCGTTTTTATTATAAAAGATTAAAATTTTCTCTTTATTTTTTTTTCCTTTTTCTCAAGACATGTGTCACGATCTTAATGGACAAAACATTAAAAGTGACATATGTCATAATCCTATATTTTATAAAAATCATATGTGTCGCAACTATGTTGTACGTATCCAGCTTTATATAATAAGATAAGTGAAATTTGTTATAACTAATGTAAAATTACAGTCATGTTTATTATTTCCAGAATATAAACTTGTGAGCTGCCATAAATAGTTGTGCAGGATTTTGTCCACAAGTTTTAATTGACGGTAATATAAATTTATGCAAAAATTAGATAATAAGTTAAGACTTTTGAGACTAGACGAGACCTGTCACGGAAAAAAGAAGAAGTTAATAGCAACTCTCACTCACTGTTCTTGAGAACGAAAGAACTTTCCTTTTCCGTTTTCTCCAAATCCTTCTTATTGTCTTCACACTGTTTTCTTTTCTCCTCTCAATTTCGAAAATTGAAAACATTGACACTTTTGAATCCCAACCACTACTCTGTTTTAGATTGTTTCTGTCTCGCCTCGAAAAAGACCTGCACTTTCAGATTACACATTAAAAAACACACCTTTGTAACCAAATCTTCGGAATTAGCATTCGATATCTCAGTGGCGGCTGTGAAATTCAAAAGCTCAAAGCTTTGTCTCAGAAACGCTTTGCAATTTAGGGATTTCACTTGCGAAAAATCGGCGATTGCTTGAGCTGCTTAACGGTATTTACTTTAGTCTCTCACCATTTCTGCTTTGAGTTTTCTTTTCTTTTTGTTTCTTTTTTTGCTTAAGTTTCAAGTCTTCATTAGTCTTGGATCCTTTGATCTTCGAGGTCGTTTTTGGGAAGTGAGCAATTTAGTTTCATTTAAGCTTGAGTATTGTCTGTTAGTAATTCACACTGTTTCTTGGGATTCGATTTTCAGGAAAGATACGTGTTGTTGCTGATCTCAATTTGCTTTCCACAACGTTGCTTCAACTACAAGTTGTGAAAGCTCGATTCTTTTGGGACATGAGCATGTGACTTTGTTGAGTTCTTATGAAAGCTCTTGTCTTTATTTGAGAAATGGCATAATCTTTTTGCTAGAGAAGACTTTAGTCTCTGTTGGTTTAGTTAGTCATGGTGGTGATGACTCTGTTCTTGGTGGTCTTCTTGGTTTGTTCATCACTGAGCCAACCTACGATGGCATTAACATGTAATCCCATCGACTTATCTTCGCTCCAGGGATTCGCAGGAGCGTTGAAGAACAGGTCCGTAACAGAATCTTGGCTAAACGGTTCGCGTTGCTGCGAATGGGACGGTGTGTCCTGCGATGTCTCCGGTCGAGTTTCAAAGCTAGTCCTATCTGAAAAAGGTTTGGAAGGATCGATATCGAGTTCTTTATGCGAACTGAGCGAGCTTCGACTGCTTGATCTCTCACGTAACCAGCTCAAAGGCGAATTGCCTGCAGAGGTTTCAAACCTGAAGCAGCTTCAAGTTCTTGATTTGAGCCATAATCTCTTGTCAGGGTCGGTTCTTGCAGCCGTTTCCGGTTTAAAACTGGTTCAGTCTCTTAACGTAAGCAACAATCTGTTCCGAGATGAGATTCATCAAGAGATTTTCAGCTCATTAAGTGAGATTCAAGTTCTTGATTTGTCGATGAACCGCTTTCTTGGGAATCTTGATGGACTGTACAGTTGCAGCGGCTTAGAGCAACTCTCAGTCTCTGGAAACTACTTAACCGGAGAGCTGAGCAAGAACTTGAGCAACCTCTCTGCTCTCAAGTCTCTGCTGATCTCCGAGAACCGATTCTCCGGTGTGATCCCGGATGTTTTCGGTAACCTCACTCGGCTTGAACACCTCGACGTGAGCTCCAACAAGTTCTCAGGCGGGTTTCCGTCGAGCTTAACCCAATCCAAGAAGCTGCGAGTTCTTGATCTTAGGAACAACTCGTTATCCGGTTCTCTCGACGACCTCAACTTCACTGGACTCACCGATCTCTGCGTGCTCGACCTCGCAAGCAATCACTTCTCCGGCCATCTCCCAGACTCTCTCGGCCATTGCCGCAAGATCAAGATCTTGAGCTTGGCCAAAAACGAGTTCACCGGAAAAATCCCAAACACCTTCAAGAACTTAAAGTCTCTCTCCTTCCTCTCTTTATCAAACAACAGCTTCGTGGACCTCTCCGAGGCAATGAACGTGCTGCAGCATTGTAGAAACCTTTCCACGCTCATCCTCTCAAAGAACTTCATGGCGGAGGAGATGGCGGAGGACGTCACCGGATTCGAAAGCCTCGCGATCTTAGCCCTCGGAAACTGCGGTCTTAAAGGTCGGATTCCGAGCTGGCTGTTGAACTGCAAGAATCTTGAAGTTCTTGATCTTTCTTGGAACCGCTTCTACGGAGCCATCCCTCGCTGGATCGACCAGATGGAGAGTCTCTTCTACATAGACTTCTCAAACAACACGTTGACCGGAGAAATCCCGTTAGCCATAACCGAGCTCAAGAGCTTGATCCATCTAAACTGCTCCGACTCTCAAACCACCGACGCTTTAATCCCTCTCTACGTCAAGCGGAACAAGAGCTCGAGCGGTCTTCCTTACAGCCAAGTTTCAAGATTCCCGCCGTCTATCTATCTGAACAATAACCGACTCAACGGTACGATCTTGCCGGAGATCGGACGGTTGAAAGAGCTTCACATGCTGGACTTGAGCAGGAACAACTTCACCGGGAAGATACCAGACTCCATCTCGGAGCTTGACAATCTGGAGGTTCTTGAATTGTCTTACAACCATCTCAACGGGACGATTCCTCTCTCGTTCCAGAGCCTCACGTTCTTGTCGAGGTTCAGCGTCGCGTATAACCGTCTCGCCGGCGCGATTCCCTCCGGTGGTCAGTTCTACAGCTTCCCTCACTCCAGCTTCGAAGGAAACTTGGGACTCTGTCGCGCGATAGACTCTCCTTGCGACGTTCTGATGAGTAACAACGTCTTGACACCGAAAGCTTCTTCTTCGGATAACAATGGCGGAAAGTTCGGGAGAGGAAGCATTGTTGTACTCACCATAAGTCTCGCCGTGGCGATCACTCTGCTTCTCTCTGTTATCTTACTAAGAATCTCAAGAAAAGATTCTTCCGATGATCGAATCAACGACGTCGGCGAGGAAATGATGACTAGCGGAGAAGTTCCTAAACCTCCTCCGGGGACGTCGAAGATTGTCCTTTTCCATAGCTGCGGATGCAAAGACCTCACCGTAGCGGATCTCCTGAAGTCGACGAACAACTTCAGCCAAGCGAACATTATAGGATGCGGCGGGTTTGGCCTAGTGTACAAGGCGAATCTGCCGGACGGCTCGAAAGCCGCGGTGAAGCGGCTTTCCGGCGACTGCGGGCAGATGGAACGGGAGTTCCAAGCGGAGGTGGAAGCCTTGTCGAGAGCTGAGCACAAGAATCTCGTCTCTCTTCAAGGCTACTGCAAGCATGGGAACGATCGTCTCCTTATCTACTCGTTTATGGAGAACGGAAGCTTGGACTACTGGCTGCACGAGCGTGTTGTAGACGGTAACTTGACTCTTCTCAAGTGGGACGTGAGGTTGAAGATAGCTCAAGGAGCGGCGCGTGGACTTGCTTACTTGCATAAAGTCTGCGAGCCGAATGTGATCCATAGAGACGTGAAGTCTAGTAACATTCTGTTGGACGGGAGGTTCGAAGCTCATCTTGCGGATTTCGGGTTGGCGAGGTTGCTTAGGCCGTACGACACTCACGTCACGACTGATTTGGTTGGGACTTTAGGTTATATACCTCCCGAGTATAGCCAGTCTTTGATCGCCACGTGTAGAGGAGATGTTTACAGTTTCGGCGTTGTGCTTTTGGAGCTTGTGACTGGTCGTAGACCTGTGGAGGTTTGTAAAGGGAAGAGTTGTAGAGATTTGGTGTCGAGGGTGTTTCAGATGAAGGCTGAGAAGCGTGAGGCAGAGGTTATCGATGCGACGATACGTGAGAGTGTGGATGAGAGAGTGGTTTTGGAGATGCTGGAGATTGCTTGCAAGTGTATTGATCATGATCCTAGAAGAAGACCGTTGATTGAAGAAGTCGTTGCTTGGCTTGATGATTTTCCAGTAGAGTGAACAATGCTTGGTTTTTGGTTTTAGAGGTATACTTGTAAAGCTATGAACTTTTGTTGAACCAAACATATAAACACAGCAAAAGAATCAGACTTATTAAACATTTTGTTCTTTAAAGACTTGAAAAAAACATATCAATAATGTGCCTTTGAATGTCTTCAAATGTTAAGAAGAGTCTTGATTTAAAAACAGAACATTCAGACAATATGTTACAACAACAACAAGAGTTAAAGAAAGAAACAAAGGAACAGAAACTAGCATCGAAATCTTGAACTTTGTGGCATTCATCTCAAGAACGTCTCCATAACGTCATGGAACATTCCTGGATTGGTTCCAGAGTTGTTCCTAAACTCCAGTGATTGCTGGTCAAGCGAGGTTGATGAAGAAGAAGAGTCCATTCTTGCTGGCAATGTATAGCTTCTTCTAAACTTGTTAGGATGGTTTTCTTGATGACTTTCAAGGCTCAAGAACTCGTTCTGGTTGTTCTCGAGATTCATGGGGTTCTGCTCTTGGTTAAAGAGAAGCCTACTAGCTTCGTCTGCACGGCCAGTCAAGGCATTGAACAGAGATAAACCGTTGGGCCATTTGATGTCATCTTCGTGTTCTTCCATTGGAGGAAGCATCTGTGGAGGAGGAGGAGGAGCATTGGTTTCTTGAAGGAAACCGAATCTTGTTGATGAAGGTAACTGGTTTTGGAAACTAGGGGAAGGTAGCAATGGAGAGTGTGTTCCCCAGTTAAAAGCTTGAGACTGAGGTTGCTGGTTTGGAACCGAGGAAGAAGATGGAGCCCCGGTTCGGTTTGAAGCAAAGAGCTGTGAGAGGTAGAAACCGGATCGATAACCGATTGATTCAAACATTTGCCTCATCCTCAGCACAAAATGAAGATCTTCTGGAATCTATAGAAGAATCAAACAATGACTGATATGAAACCATATAGCCGACTTGACAAAGCTAATATGAAACCATAAGATTAAAGAAGAAGAAAAAACTCACAATCTTGCAAGAACCTAGCTGTAACAGTCCATGTCCAGCTTGAATCACAGCAATTGTCTGGTCAATTTTTAAACAGTGTTAAGGTAAGATCAAGAACAGTAGTAATCAATGTTTGAAAACTTAAAAAGATGTTTGATTATTGACCTGAATGCCTGATTCGAATTGGTCGGTCCATTCTGGAGGAAGCTGCAATAAATTTGTAAACAACCAGAAAGCAAGATCATATATTTGTAACCAAAAATAGATTTTTAATTATCTGTGGAAGATTAAGAGAACATACAGCATCAAAAGAACTCTGCCAGTAATTAGCAAGATTTGGTTCAGATTCAGATGGTTCTTTGAATACCCACTTGTGACATTTATCAGAAGCAACTTTACCCATCAATCTGCAGATATCATAATATCAAAGATTCACAACATAATAAAACTTGTTTTGTATATAAACTATTGAGAAACTTAATCATGATTAGGGTGTGTTTATATAAATCTAATTATCTTCTTTCATAATTAACTTTATATAACCACCTACCCAGTACCCACCCTTCTCCATAATTATATAACTGAATGGACATCTTGCTGAAAGCTTTTCTCACAAGATCTTCACCTTCAATGTCTGGTTCCAGACAAACATCTTCACTTCTTGCTCCTCCTCCTCCTCCTCCTCCGCAAAACCCATCTTCCCACATCAACATCCTTTAAATTAACAAGAAAACAAACTGTTACATAAAGAGATCTTGAGCCGAAACAGAGGTGTTCTGTTTCTGTCTCTCTTCTCCTATAAGCAGAGTAAAGACAGAAAGAGAAAACTCACAAGCTGCCACTTTCGTCACCAATCTTGCAGCCATTACCACCACGGACCCTCCTGAAATCAGAAAGAGAAACAAGAAAGGATAAAGAAACAGAGAAAGATTGATAATTAGAAAGAGAGAGAAAGATTGATGAATAGAGAGAGAGTGAGAGAGAGATGTGTACGGTCGGGGACGAATGGTCCAGAAAACAGAGTAAATCCAGTCGGAGTTAAGACAGACGCTTCTAAGTGCTTCGTGAAGTGCCATCATTCCTACAGCATCTTTGCTTCTATCTCCTCCAACACTTCCTGAGCCCACCATGTCTCTACTCTCTCTCTATGTCTCTCTTTCTCTCTTTCTCTCTCTCTCTCACTTCATAACGCTTGAGAATTCTCCAAAGACACAGCTTCTTTTGCTAAAGAATCATCTCTTTTAAGTCTTTAAACTCTTTAGCTTTCTTCAGACACGGTCTCTTTTTTTGTTTTTGGCAAATATTTTAAAACTACCCACTGAAAAGAAAAGAAAATATGTTATCTTTCTCTGTGAGAGCAAAAGAGTTTGTCAACCACAGAGTCTCATCTCTCTCTTACTTTCTCCCACTACTGTTCTTTTGCTTCGAGTCTTTTAGTGAACAGAATTATGTTAATCGAAATCCCGGCGACAAGTTAGGGTTTAGCCGTTTAGGGATAATATATAATTAATAAATTATTTGTTTACTGGAATAGTATCTGTGAATATAGTATTTCTTTTAAAGTTATCACAATTGTCATAATGTCATCTCCATTTAATCGTTTATCAATTTGCAAACATGAATATTTGGACCAGTTGTTTTTATATAAAAAATAATAACACATCTATGTTTCACGTAGGCGTGTTCATAACTTTTTATCAACAAATATTTATGCTTTACTAGTTTTTTTCTTAATTTAATTTTTGTTATATTTTTGTTTTGAATTAACATGAATGAACAAAATTGCATATTTGTCAATGATAAAATCAAAAATAGAAAATATGAGACGGTGGGGACAAGTATTATCTTCTTTCTGGCTAGCAAGACAAATGTAGGTGTTGAGGGATGACAAAAGTGGTTCTGTTTTTGTTTTCCCCTCTCATCACTCATTCACTCACTACCATCGCTCTTCTTAAATTATTATTTTACCCTTCTTGCTCCATATAAATTACGACACAGTACAAATTTTTATTCCTTTTATCGTATTGATAACAAGGTGGACCATTTCATCTCCATTTCACAATGTCACAGTGGTTCATTGCATACTTCAGTTAATTTAGAGATAAATTGGACCACATATTGTCGTCGAAAATAGTTTTTCTAATCCTTATATATCGTTCAAAAAACCCACGACTGTATGTTTCTTGAGCAGGTTGCGTTTATGGAGATATTAGTTGTTACTTGTTCCACGTCTAAATCCCTCCCGAATAACTCTAAGACAAGGCATGAAGATTTCAATTGGCCCTCCTATGTCGGACCAAAGATTTCTCTCAATTCGATGAAGTCTCCCAAAGCTTTGGTGTAAGTAAGCCGTTGAAATAAAAGCATCGAAAAACTCATGGAATTGTGTTTCTTTTCTGGCACCATGCATGGTATAACAGGAATTTACATCATTTATTCGTTATTATTTCCAAAAAATATCGAGTTTAAGGTGAGCTAGTAAGTTGCTTTCACATTAGGTGATTAAAGTTCGAGAAAGAAGAAAAGAAAAGGTGATTATGGAAGTTAGGAAGTTACTGTGTCGTGCTCCGTGCTTTGATCCTTGTGCTCAATTTCTTCATACCCGAATCCTTTGTAGCATATTTTTTCAACATTTTAAAGTCTCTTTTGGTCTAATCATTTGTTAGGTTTATAACATTTAATATTCCATCATTAGCCGTTGAAATTTCATATAATGATGCTTAGTTTTTGTTTTGTTTCAGTATTGTAAGAAATTGTAGACATGTTTCAGTCAAAAGACAATTCATGAACAAATAAAATAGTGTTGTTACAAAAAAAGGAATGCAATAATGACCATTTGACTACGTTCACACAAGGAACAAAAAGTATAATTAAAGTTACACAGTCCAACTCTTTTAAAATCAACGGAGAATATTGGTACAGACAATTAGGGATAAAGTTATCAGATATTTTTAAAAGACCGCCTAATGACTGAGATCTGTCTAGATAAAGAAGATAACCAATAGCTTAATGTACTAATTTAATCTGGTTGATTCAGAAAGGAAAAAGAGACAAACAAAAGGATGAGGAGGAGAGCCAAAGGTCGGGGGTCACGTGCGCACGTGCCGTCAACAGTGAGTCGGTGCGTCACTAATCGTGAGGAAAGCGAACCGCACGAATCGCGGGACTGTGCTTTCTCCGCCTGTGACTCTCTTTCACGTCCTCTCCCTCATAACCACGCGCTAACTCACACACATCCTTCAAATAATCAATTGTATTCCACGTATGTTCAATTGTAAAGCTGGTTGTTTTGTTTGCTAAATTGAATTTAGATTTGTTGACGTTTTGTTAAAAAACAAAAATTACCAATTAAAAAATTATATTTTCATGAAATCATGTGTTTGACCCAAAAGAATTTTGTTGCTAACTATATCGCATAATTCGCTTAATATTATTCCACAAACATCATCATTAACTACGTTTATTTACACTACTTTAGGGGAGACAGAAACAAATTAAAATGTGAAAAAATAATGTTTTTTTCCTCTAAAATCAGAGAGGCAGATAAAAGAAGAATGTTGGCGCGTGGAGAAGATGGAGCGCGTACGGGTGAGGAGGAACTGAAAACAACAGGATGTGAGCATTCATTCAACTAGGCTCCCGCATTGACCGGCCCAGGCCTCGATCTAACTCCTCCCACGACCGTATCTGTGGTGGGTCCTACTTCGTATCTTATTGTGTGTTTTATGAATACTAGGTTTTTCACCCGCGCAAGCGCGGGTCTGTTTTATAGTTTGATTAGTAATTTTTTTTATTCATAAATTACTATGAAATCTTATTTTTCGCCAATTGTTTATTATTCTTCGATCTATTCTTCTTTATTCGTTTTTTTTCTTCTTTGCTTTCTTCTTCATCTTTACTCTCCTTTTATGTTTCTTCGTCCTCGTGATTTCTTATTCCGTTATTTGGTCTGTTTCTTCATCTTTGTTTATCTTTTGTTTATTTTTTGTTTTCGTTCTTTGATATTTTTGTCTGTACTTTTTTTTATTCTGTATTATTCTTTTGTTTTTTCTATGATTAGTTCAGACGGTTGAAGTTATAGAGTTTTGCTACTTTTTTTCTTAGATTATTCTTTGCTGGAATTTTTTAACCATTGTATCCTTTTTAGAAATATTTTTTATGTAATCCTCTTTATGTAAAATAATATTTTCACTATTTGATACACTTAACCAAACTTAAAAATGTAAAGGATTCATAGAAATAAAATAAAGTTAGAAATATACAAATATATATTCACACATATATTGAACAATGTCTAACAATAATTCAATTTATGTGATCATAAATATATAGTTAAGCATAACTTTCAATTTCATATTCTTTGGTATCATCTTTTTATTTGGTTTCTTGGTTTAGTCTTATATTATATGAGATTTTTTATTTATATTTTTGTTCTTTGTTATTTTTCGTCTTCGCTTTTCTTAATCTATATTTTTTTTTTGGCTTTTCTTGGTTCTTATTCTTCTATTTCTTCTATGGTTTATTTTTTTCATCGAAAATGCTAGGTTTCCCTATAGTTTGTTTATTCCAGATTCCTCTTCTTCTATGTATTGTTTGTTCTTCGCTTAAAATTCTCCAGGACTATATTTTTTGTAAAATATGTTTATTATTAACCTCTTTAATCTTAGGTAGAAACAAATTTTCACTATCTATCTAAACCTTTAAAAAATAAAATGTATGTCTAACAAATTTAATCTAGATAAGCTAATATTATTGTAGATAAACTAATGCTACTATTTAGGTTGGATTTCTAGGAGTATGAAATTTATTTGAAGAGAAGTTAATTGACACATCGTTGTTCTTCATTTCCTTCTTTACTCACTCTTGTTTCTATGTTTTTTAATTTTATTTCTTGATTCTCTTCATTTTTTTCTACTTTGATTTTTTTTATTCTTATTTGGTTTCATATTTATCTTCACTCATCTTCGCTTCGGCTCTTCTTCGTCTTTGCTTTTCTTTATTCCTCTGTCTTGTTCTTGTTTGGCTTCTGCTCTTCTTCGTCTTTACTCTTCTGTACCCTTTCTTTGTATTCTTGTTTGGTTTTATTTCCTTCTTCACTTTCGTTTATATTTTTATTTATTCTTCTTTAATTTCTCCTACTTTGATTTCTTCTTTATTCTTATTTAGTTTTTTTTTTCATTTTCACTCATCTTTGCTTAAACTTTTTTATTTATTCCTCCTATGTGTTTTTTTTTCATATATTTGGTTCTTGTCTTAGCAATATAACTAATTTACATGACAACTTTTTTTTGTTGTAAGTAGAAAATATATTTTTTATTTTTAAAAATATTTAATTACTTGAAAAGAAATTGTGATTACATGAAGGTTTCTATAAAAAGGAAAATAATTACTTAATTTTAGTGATTATCTGGAATGATATTATTGGGCTGTTTAAAATCATATATATGTAATAAATAATTTCTTTATTTCTTACATATTTAAAAATTGTAAATTTTTTTAATCATGTATATCTTTATGTAGACCAATCAAATTTAAATAGTAAATTTTATATGATGATATGTAATGATATTATTGGTTATTTTCCAATTAAGAAACTTTCTTGAGATATAAAAAGTTGATTAAATTAATTTTTAGAAATATAATTTATTTCCTATGATGATGTCGACTGATACTATTGGTTATTTAAAATTGGAAACTTTATTAATATTGGAAAACGCTTACATGGACCAATAATATCGAGTTTTTAAATCCTATGTAGACGCTATCAGAGGCTTATAGCCTCAACTTTAGGAATTGTGATGTTTTTAATTCAAATCTGGTTAGATAATGATTGTTGTCATATATCTTAGATTTTTTTTTAAAAAAACATATTAATTTAGTTTATTTTTTTGTTGGTATTAAAAAGAAATATGTTGTAAAATCTTTAATGCAAAACATTTATAATATATTTAGATTAGGAAACTTTCTTGAAAATAAAAAGGAAATTACCAAATTTTATATGATGATGTGGAGTAATACTATTGGTTGTTTAAAATCTGGAAATTTCCTAATTGTGTAGATGCTTATATGGACCAATAAAATCGGTTTCCTAAATCCTATGTGGACGCTCTTAGAGGCTTATAGCCTCAACTTTTATATAGTATAGATTTTTTTAGTTTTTTAGAATTATTTTCTCAGAGACGTCTTCAGTCTAAAAAAGAATTCTTATTAGACGTAGATATAAAAATCAATAGTGAAATGACCCATTGTTGAGCTAATCCATTGCATCTAATCGTCGAAACCTATAATTGTTTTATAAAGCCGCAATGATCGTAATTATGACTTTTGATTTCGATAATTGGTTTAACATTCTAATAATCATGCTTTTTCTGCATTACTAAAGAGCTAAAGAGAAAAGGGAAGAATCAATAATTTACTAGAGAGTTACCTAATGGACCCATAATCACCGGTAAATTATAAAAAGAAATTCCACCATGAAGTGTTCGAATCCACTAGTGCAAGTAGCGTTCTTATCTCTACGTGTTCCTTAAGTATGAGAGCTTAACTCCAACTCTTCAAGAAATTGAGAAAAGGGCCGATATGCTATGCATGTTGGCAAAATGAAACATTCCACCAGGTTATTTTTTCACTACCTACTAACAATTGATTAACGTACAATATATTTGAACGCTTTGTGAAATTTTCAATCAAACCTATAACTGTTATAAGACCGTTTAGAGAAAATTAGAGGTTTTTTTTAAAATTTAGAGGTTTTAATTAGTATACATGGTCAGGTTGTTTCTTAATGGAATCTTGTCCAGATGCACCAGCTAGCTACTGATTCCCTGGTTTCTTTTGGAAAAGTGAACAATTTAAACTACAAAAGTGTATACTCAATAAAGGAGCAAATGGGTTATGGGTTGACGTGAATATATATTAGATACATATAGTGAATAAGTGATGAGGGATTCTAATACGTAAACAGCAAGAAGAAACATACTCTTATATGAGCTAGATGCTTTGTGTTTACTACCAACAAGGCACCAACGAAACTTTTTTAGGTGTAAGTGCGTGATGTGAGTTGTTTTAGCTTTTTGCAACAGTTGTTAATAGAAAACCAACAAATTTGTTAGTTTCTTAACAAAAAAAAAAACTTTTTTTTTCCTTCATCTCTAGTTCTAAACATCTAAAAACTAATGCTTTTTCACTTTATTACAAATAAACTTTGTAGATTATCATGTATATTTCCTATATGTCGTTACACATTGCGTTGATGTTACCTGTATGCACGTACATTACATATATATATATATATATATATATACAAAATTTGGAACTAAAAGAGAAAATGGAGGTTAGAGGATGAGGTAGGCAAAATGGGGGAGAGTCACTGTCACGTGCGTCTTTGCGGTGGTTAAGAGTAGAGCGTGCATATATCTCTGGTGGGAACCAAACTTACAAAAGTACATACAAAGACCACTTCCAACTTAGCTTCCAAGTTCCAGCTTCTGTTTCTTCTTCAGACCAAAAAGAAAAAGATAAAAAACTTACACATTTACGTACCTACTTTTCAGTTCCCCTTTCTCTTTTGGTAAACTTATTTTGTAAAACTAGTTTCAAAGATTAATATTGGTATACCACTTATTTATTTGTTAGTTTTCAAAAAAACGATTTAATTAGTCTTCCAATTTCCACCTTTTTGTTTTCTTGGCATTAATTTTTGAATATTTTTTAACTCACTAATTTCAGATTCAAATGTTGATGAATCGACCGTACCGGTCACTGATGTCTAAATTATACACGTGGAAGTTGAAGTAAATAAGATTCATTCGAGGACTTAAAGTTGTAACATTTTTTTTTTATAACAGACAAAATTAATGTACTACATTTTCTTCAGTATTTTTTTAGTTTCGAATGGATTTTTTTGTTTTTTTTTTTTTTTTTTTTTTTGTAGCTTAAGCAACACAGTTATTTGCTGGGTCGGTTTTATATAAATCAGATATGCGTCAAGAATTGTGAAACTTCCTTCAGATAGATCTAAATTTCTGTAACCTATGCAAAAAAAAAAAAAAAAAAAAACAATGCACAAGTCATATGAAAGAAGTAGAGTTTTTGGCACTGACTCGCGGTTTAGCAACAAGCGTTATCAATCGAATCTAATAAAGACTACATAACCATTAAAATTAAGAGAAAAACGGAACCAGACAACATAGTTTACTTTTGTCCCTCACAATCTCACATACAAAGGTCTCTCTTCTTAGCTAACAAGCTTGACCACTTGAGAACGTTATTGAAACTTTACTTGAGCTCGCTAAGAGAGGAGAAGGTGAGATGTTTTAAATAGTAACGGGCATATACTTCGGAATCCGGAAAGTTAAGCAAAACGGAAAAAATCCCAAAAACCAAGAATTGATCACTAAAAACCGGCGGTTAACTAATATTAACTAGTCGGTGTAGACTAGAAGGAACCTCTCTGGTTTACCAAAATCCCACATCGTTATTTTAGAGAGTTAACTTGATGTATATATAAGACTCAGAGAGCAACGAAGGTCACGACCTTACTTGAACAGGATCTTTCCTATAGGCTCGTACCTCTGAATCCTTGATTTCCAAGGAGACAGGCCCCAAAACCTGGATGATGAATAATGACCGTGTGATTTGAGTGTGATTAACGGCTACGATTCTCTCTGAGTCTCCGTGCTGTAGACGATCGCTACCTGGTCTGGTCTTGACCCGACTGGGGTGGTCACACGGTTGTCTGACAGGTTCCCTTTTTTTTAATGTTCTTGGTGAAGTTTTAACCTAAAACTGAATGAACTCCAATGGAACTCAACTACCACTTTCTTCGTCATAGTGTGTGAGAGAGATGTTTAAATCTTTTCAGTGTCCTTCTTTACAAATAGTTCCTAATGTTGTTTTAAATTTCTCAAAAGACTGTACTGTGATTTGCTATTGCATTGCTAAACATTGAAATTCATATATGATAACAGAAGGTGATCAAAAATCTATAATAAAACAACCAATCATGCATGTGAATATCTTCCATGACTTATTGGAACAGAGCAAACGTGACTCTTGGAAATTGGAACAAGAAGCTATAAGAAGCCTAATTCAATGCGTTTTGGGTATAATAGAACCGTAGCTACTTCACTAGTTATGTGTGGGAGGAGCTACGTTAATGCGAGAGCAGCCATCTTTGAGAAGAGGAGGGAAGAATGGATTGAACGGGAACATTTGTGGCCAACACTTTGCATCCACTTCCATAAACTCTTTGCAGCACATAGCTCCAACGTTTTCAAACTTACCCGTGAAAGCAAATTTGAAGATTTCCATTACACAACCTTGAACGTTTAAGAGCGATGACCAACATTTTGTGAGATCGACAGGAGAGCCGGGAATGGAAGGAAATCCAGGAATTGTAGGAAGTTGAGCTAGCGCCGGTTTAACAAAAGTAGTAGCACACAAAGTCACAACTAGAAATGTTGCGAGAAGAGCTTGGATCCTACCTTCCATGGTCACTTTTTATTTTATTTTTTATCTTTCTGTATTCTGTAGAGTCAATTGCTTTAATTGGGATGATTTAAGGTATTAAGAGAATCAAACAATATATAATAGAGTAACATAACGAATGAACATACTGAATTTATTTTGAGAGTTACACTTTGAGAATGATCCGTTAAAACATCCTTTCAATTGAAACATAAGTGTTACAGTTTACAAAAAGAGTAACTCAAAGTTGTAGGCCTTTAACCTTAAATTTAAATAAATATCTACATTGACTGTTATATTCTTAATAATTAATAAATAAGATGTAGAAAGACTTTACATTGAAGTTTACATTGCCTTGATGTCCCTACGCAATACACACCGATCTTCTTCCTCGTGAAGATAAAGAAGCGCAGAGGCTAGACTTAGAGCTATCTTGTCCCTTACCTCCCAAGAAAGATGAGGTCTCTTTCCAAAAGGGTGAGTGTCCAAGCTACCATTTGGCATAAACTCATATATAAGCAAATACCCATCTTTTGCATTACACCAACCAATGATTTGCACCAAGTTTCTATGTCTTAGTTTGCTGATGATCTTAACTTCGGTCACAAACTCTTTCTTCCCCTGCCTTGAACCACCAGATCATAATTTCTTCACTGCAACCATCATATCCATTTCGTTCAAGTATCCTCTGTAAACTGCTCCAAAACCTCCTTCACCTAGTTTTCTCTGTTCTGAGAATCTATTGGTTGCTAACACAAGATCCTTATAAACAAACCTCCTTGGTCCTGCTTCTCGGTCAAGATCTTCGTTTATTTTTTTTTCTCTTGCTTTCAACTTACTTTGCTTCCGAAACCAAATCACCACTGGTACTGCGACCAATGAGGTCAAAAGAACATACACAGAAACCGAAACGCCAACTATCAATCCTCTTTTGATAGAAGCTTTCTCGTTAACCAAACTTGAGCTAAACTCCTATGCCAAGTCCATGTCCTGTGTTTGCTCCAGTAGCAGCTGAAAACCTAAAACCAATTTCAAAAACTCGTTTCCAAAAATTATTCCAAAGTCGAAAAGGAATCTATTGGCGGGGTATTAGGCATTAATGGGCCTTAGTAGTTAAGCTAAAACTTTTAATCCCACATCGGTAGAAGTAGAGTTGATATGTATTGTTTGCTAGGTTAAGCTAAATCTTTTAATCCCACATCGGAAGTAGTAGTAGAGTGAAGAGGTTTTCTTTGGATATAAAAAGAAGAGGCTCTCGTTGCAGTAAAATCATCTTTGCGCTTGGGGCAATGACGCAGCTAATGAGATACTAACCGAGGCGCGTCTATTGCTGGTTGAAAACTATTTCCAAACCCCCTCCGAGGCTTCGGCTGACGAGAATTTCTGGAAGGGCTCCCTTCGGGGTAAAGCCCTACAATTCTTTAGTTCAATCATTTTTAATTAATGTTTTGGCGTAATGTCCTATGTCTGAACCGTAAGGTTCACTTGGGATGGTTCTCTATTTGGTTGGATCACAATGTTATGCTAGCCTTCGGAAAGCTTTACTATAACAATCAGCTTTGCTTCTGACCTCTTAATCTTATTTTGTTGCACGAATACTGTGAACTTACTACGTGCCCTTGCTTGCGTTTGAATTAATTCGGAGACGACATATTGGTGGGATGACGTTGAAGTCTTCAACGAACAAAGTAGCGTGGTGAATGGGTTACCGAAAGCGAAGGATGACAATGATGCTGAATTCAGAGTAGATTCATGCTTTTCTTCTACTAATCTCCACAAGAAAAAGAAGAAAAAGAAGAATGACGTAAATGAGAGATCATTATCATCATGATAATTTCATTGATTTGAGGGAGAACAAGGGTTTCAGTGAGAGTAATAAGCGCAATGATCACATAAAGAGTGAAACAATTCATAAGGACACAATTATACTGAGATGTCGCAAACACACCAAAACACAATTTTAATGGGATAAATGAGACTAGCTCTTTTTTTGTTTTCGTATATCTATAACAAAATAAATAGAAGCAAATACGGGAATCATTGATGATTAATACAAGGAAGCAAGTATAGCAATACAAGGAGATAATGGAAACGTGAAGTTACAATGTTTCAAGATAAAAGGAAGCTTGTTATTTGCTGAAATAAAATAAAATAGAAAATCTTGGTTTAGCCGAGAATGTATCTTGGTACTTATATGGTTTTCTCAGCCGGTTTGGTTGCTGATTCAACACATGATCGCTTTTGAGTTGCGACTCCATCATACACCTGACTCGAGTTGTTCATGCAGGCATTAACAAATGTATTGGGTTTAAACAATAACGGCCTTTAAAGATCCATAAAGCTTAGATCTCGATTTATCAACCTATCAAAATACAAATGCTTGAGCCTTGAGACACACATCGCTTACAATTGACAGAGAAACTAAATTATAAACAAGACGTAGAGCTTGTCTAGATGATTCACGGAGCCGTTCAGTGAGGATCAAGCAATAGATTGCTTTTTACGAAAGAATACCGTGTTCTCTATGCTCTAAAGCCGCATACGCCTATTTTTGGAATATTTTTATAAGTTCTTATAATGTTTTGGCAGATTAAGTTACAACAGACTTTTTAAATAAAGAAAAGAGAGATGGTGAGGGAAAAAGAAAGAAGAGAAATATTAAATACCGCAAAAGAAAAGTTTGGGAAAACAAAGAACAGTAGTAACTAAATAATAAAATCTGAAACCAATAAGAAAAAGGAAATTACACATAATTAAAATTAGAATATTCAAATCTCTATAAATTGTTGACCAGTCCACCGCCTCAATAGATACTATAAATATACAACTTTCGATTCTCCCATTCACCACATTCTAATTTTTTTCTTTGGCAGCATATTACACATTATGGAAGCTATTCCAGTGTTTACGTACCAAATCGAAACCAATCCTAAACCTCAAGAAATCGGCACAATCGTAATCAACACAAATATAGTCGGTCCTGTCGACATGGACCTGATACTAACCCGGTCTAGGTTCTCATGTTCGTTACCTACCACAGAATTCATCGAAGACGAAGCATCTCCTAGAAAAAAAGAACTCTATGACTTCTTGATAGAATCAGGAGTAAATGAATTGGTTGCTATCACGCTAATGCTAAAATTCATTCAAACAGCCGTCAATATAACTTCCTCGGCTGAATATTGTCCATATTACGCTTTGTCAGTGTGGTTGACCCTTAATGTAGTTACTTCAAGTCAAGAATCACTCCTCGATGACTCTCAATTTGAAGAGGCGATTCGAGCCTCACTCGACGATTACGAGACGAATATCGGGTTTAGACCCGCAAGCAAGGAAGGAGTAGAGTCCTTGAGTAGGAGAATATACAAGAGTAAACCAAAGACTAGCTTAGTTGCTGACTGCAAGAGTAAAAGAAGGACCAGCTCAATTGCTAGCCATTGCACCATTTGTTTAGAGGAGTTTAAAAGCGGGATAATGGTGGCGACTTTCCCTTGTGGTCACGAGTTTGACAACAAGTGTATTGTGGAGTGGTGTAAGGTTAGCCATGTTTGTCCATTGTGCCGGTTCAAGTTACCATGTGAAGATGGTGATTTTTCTCAAACAACCACGGTATTCTAATCACTTTACTTAGATCAATCCACAAGTTTTGAAGTTTATCTAACTAGTACAGTAGTACTTGCATTCTGATGATTTGTGCTAGTGTTGTCGTTATTTTATTAACAGAAAATAAAAGGGATATACTTTTGTCTATTGTTACCATACATAGGACTAGGATTATGTATTAGCAACAATGACCTTGGTGATGAATGTATATCACTTTTGCAAGTGAAAACTGTGATTCCGATTTTTTTTGGGTACTATTTTATTATCAAACATTTGGAAAATAATTCCGCTATATACATCTAGCATATCTTATTATATAAAATTGGATGGACACAATTTGAACGCGATATGTAAGATAAATTTGTATCCACCGGATTTTGACATATGTCATCACTAATTTAGATTGTGACACGTGTAAATTTGTATATTAAAAAGTCAAGTATGACATATAAGATCAACTACATATTTAAAATTTATTATTTACAAATTTATGATAATTTACATATTTATAGCCAATTTAACAAATTTAGATTATGACATCTTTAAAATCTTTTTTTAGAAAGTAATTAGATATGTATCACCACATAAACTTAATGAACAAAAAAATAGTTGTAAAGCAAAACAATCAACTAATTAAAAGGAAATAATTCAAGTTTCTAGTTTTAGATAGTTAAATTTTTCCAAATTTGGGAATAGGTGAACTTCCAAGTTGCTAACAATTTTTCCTTTTTTCTTTAATTTGGATGAAAATTGTGATTTCCATTAAGGATTATGTTATACATTAAACCTTGAATGCCTTTTTGTCAAGTCCCACATCGGAATGAGTAGGAGAGCTAAAATGTATTGTTTAGATATAAATAGAAGAGACTTTCAATCACTGAAACTCATCTTTGCGCTTAGGGCAATGACTCAGCTAATGAGGTACTAACCGAGGCGCGTCTATTGCTGGTTGAAAACTATTTCCAAACCCCCTCCGAAGCTTCGGCCGACGAGAATTTCTGGAAGGGCCTCCTTCGGGGTAAAGCCCTACAATATTTAGTTCAATCTTTTTCTTTTTAGTTGTGGCACAGTCGTAAAACGTATTGGCATTTGTGTAGTTACTGATTCGTCTGCAATATAATTCGAAGATTCCTATAATGTTTTTACAAATCAGCCAGGAAGGTTAATTTGAATTGTCTTATAGGTATGATCAATTAATGTAGCATGTCCTAGCCAGGTGGTTGTACGGCGGCCTCACATGTTCGTTTCTTTCTATGTTAGTTTTTCACTTTTATTTATAAATTCTCATGTCTTGTCTAGTTTTCTGAAGCTAACTTTTAACAGAAATCTGGTGATGAATATACATAATTGAATTTCGACACTCTTATTCATTGTGTCGATGCAAGCGTATCATAAATATATCTCTGGGAACAATTGCTATG